CTTCAAGTCGCCCGGGAAGAGTCTGCCAAGGTACTTGTGAGAAGCACTTTTCCGGACAACTTCGACCATTGATCCTGCAAGTTCCACCATGAGCGGCGTCTCGCTATCTGCGATGTTGCAATCAGTGGACAGGATCTTTGTTTTCGCCCCATTGATAATCAGCCCCGCTTTGGTGAGCTCATGTGTCAAGATCTCCACTATCTCCACAGCTTCTGCCAAAGATTTCCCAAAGATCAGCAGGTCGTCAGCATATCGCAAATTGGTCAGGCGCTCGTGCTCCTGGTCCAGAAAACGCCATGCTGCCCGAGTCTAACTTTCCATCGCCTCATCACAGATTCTAAGGCGGAGTTGAAAAGCATTGGACTCAGCACGTCCCCTTGCCGGACACCTCGTCGAATCGGAAACAAGTCGTCTCCCTTCTGCCCGTCTGCTGCGCATACAGACGCTGCAGAAGAAGGATGTACTTGTTGTCGACGCCCTGCTCCTCCAGTGCTGTGAACAAGGTGTTGTACTCGACCTTGTCGAATGCCTTCTTCAAGTCAATGCTGACTATCCAAACGGGGACGTTCCACTCGAAGGATTTGCCGATGACAGATTCAAGGATGAGCAGCGCGTCCTCTGTGCCCTTCTGCGGCCGGAAGCCCATTTGTTCTGGTGGCTGCGCTCCCTCCAATGTCGAGCCCAGACGGTTCCGCAGCATCTTGGCAAAAATCTTGTACGACACGTCTAATACTGCAATCGGTCTCCAATTGTTGGGATCAAGTGGGTCCCCCGTCTTCGGTAGCATGATGAAGATGAGCTCCCTCCACTCTGGCGGCATGTCTCCGGAGCTCAGGATGCGGTTAAAAATCGTGAGGAGGATATCCTTCGTGGTGCGGCTGCTGTTCTTGAACATCTCCAATATCACCCCGTGCCTGTCCTCCGATTTCCCTGCGGCCATCTGCCGGAGAGCCAAGCTAAGTTCGTCAATCGAGAACGCAGGAATGCCAGCCAGAGGGGACAGGTCGTCAGGTCCAAGATCGCCCGCTTCTGAAGCGTACACATCTCCCAAGCACGCAGCCAGAACGGAATTCGATGGGCGCACCGTGGATTTGCCCCGGATTGGATCAGAACAGATCTGCGCAAGCTTCTGCAAGTCTCGAAAACATTCCAACTGTTCTTGTAAACGCCGGGTCTGCCGCTGCCCGAGTAACCTCCGCATTTCAGTCGCGTTCAGCTTCGACAATCGCCTTCTCTCCGCCGGGTCTCTGCTGAGGCGCCGGTCAGTGCGCATCCTCTTGAGTCTCGGTGTGTCCCACGGCTTGTTCTCTGCGACACGCTTCCTCTGAGTGGCGCCACTCTCCTCGGCCGCCTGAGACATCAGCGCGTGCACGCCTTCAAGGGTGTCAGTTGGAGTGGTCGAGAGCATGTTGTCCAAGGTGTCCCCATACTGTTGCGCACCTTGCCAACGCACTTTACGTTTGCTGACCCGCCGTTTCCGGATATCTGGCACTCTCACAGCTGCAAACGCGGCCCGGTGATCAGACCCACAAACAAGGTCGTTGGAAGCCTCGTACCTGGCGACTGCCATGCTTTTGCTCACGAGCACATAGTCTAATTGGCGCGTGACTCCCAGCGTGCTTTTAAAGGTCCACGTATTTGCCCACGATTGTTCACTGAAGTCTGAAGGAGCGAACATATCGAACTCAGCCACAAACTCCCGCAGAAGTTCGCTGCTGCTGCCAACATTGAGCTGCGTGTTGAAATCACCACCAATGACGATGTATCTGCCTGTGCGCTGCCGTTCTTTGACTAAATCTTTCAAGTCAGAATGAAAATCGTTCAATTCTTGTAAGCTGTATCCACAATGAGGAGCATATACCGATACGATCCGGATCGCCATTCCGCACACGTGGGCGTCCACGGCAATCGTTCGGTCTGAACGGCGTTCAATGTGATTGATGCTATCAGCAATGTCTGCATGGAGCAAGACTGCGACACCAAGATGGCGGGAGTCATCGAGGCTGGAGATCAGACGGTGTCCACCGTCCAAAATGACGTCTGCTGTCGCGGCCCGTGTTTCGCTGAAGCAAACTATGTCCCAGCAAAGATCGTGCAACTCACCCAATAGATTTGCGAGGCGACACTGAGTGTGAATTCTTGCATTCTTGCAAAATACCCACATGGTATCCTTAGAAAATTGCGCATCTATTCATGTAAACTTACCTATGCACATGTAGCGGGGGACAGGGTCTGGGGGCCCTAGGCCAGAACCTGGACCGCAAATGTGGGTGCCGGGGCCCTGGGGCCTCCCAAGATGGCCCCGAGACGGCTCCTCGATCGCTTGAAAATGGGCCTCGAGACCGCCAAGACTGCCCATGACGGTCCCAGATTTCACAGTATTGCCCCAGACAGGCCCGAGAGCCCTCAGGAGGCTCCCAAGAGGCCCGCAAGAAGGCCTAAGAGAGGCCCTCAAGATGATTCCAAGAGCCCCCCCAAGAGGCAAACGTCCATAACAAACAGGGATAATACCATAGTTTTTTGGAGATCTCGCCGTTTTGCTTCCGACGGGCCTCTGAGGCCCCAGGATGGTTCGAGCGGGGCCCAGGAGAGGCCCAAGAGGAGCCCCAGAGAGCCTCACGACGGCCCTCAAAATTTAAAATGCGTGGGGACCTCCGAGGCGGCCCCAGGTCGCCTCTTGGATCTCTCGGGCCGCCCCCCTACGCCTCGGCGCCGCCCAGGGCCCCGCGGCGGCCCCTGGGGAGGCTGCGGGGCCGGCGCCCCCCCATGTCGGCGCCTCCCCTCGGCCATGGCTCGGGCGTGTGCCTTGTTGTTCGGCGGGGCCTGCGCCAGAAGATCTGGGCCGCTCCTAGCCCAGGGTGCCCCCAGGATATCCAAGGAGGCTTCCACGGCATCCAAAGCACCCCTCACGAGGCCCTGAGGGTCCCAGGATCTCCAAAACTGAACGAAAAGCTGGGGGCACCTTGGGCCAGGGGCACCTCTAGCAGCCCCCGACATTTTGGGGCAGCTTGGACCATCTTGATCATGGAGCTCATCCTGTGCCGTCTTGGGTTCGAAAGCCGGGGGTTCGCTAGAGACTGGCTTCCTCCCAGAGCGACGAGAGCCCTTCCCAAACCCTACACAAGCGCCCTCCACAGAAACCCACCTGGAACCCTTCCCAGGGGCTTTTCGGAGGGGTTCGGGATGGCTTCGGCTATTTCGAAACGAAACCAGTCCCTAGCGAACCCTGGACTTTCTGAGTCGTGGGCTCTCTTGGCCTCCCGTGTGGGCAGTGTTGGGGGCACGCTGCGGCCGTGTCGGGGCCCTCTCGGGGCCTCGTGCTTTGCCTCGCGAGCTCTTTGCACAGACACGGGCTCATTCATCGCGGAGCTCGGCCTCGCAAACTTGGCAGTGTCGATATGGTCGCTCTGGTTCGGAGTTCTCTCCCTGAGCAAGCTCACTCTTCTGCCCCTCCCTTGGCAGTCTCCGACCCACTCTTCTTCACTCCTAATCCTCCTCCACCTCGTCCTTCCTTTGTGCTCCCAAGACCTCCGACTTTTTTTTTTTTTTTTTTTTTTTCCTTCCCCCCCCCCTACCTAGGCTCTGCCTAGAAGGGTTCTTACTCGGCATGCTTAAAGGGCCGGGCAGTGCAACTCGCCCCGGGCGGTTCCCCCAGTATCCGCCCCGCGGTTCCCCCAGTTACGTCCCCTTAGCTTAGCGTTGCTTATCTCATCTTAGCTTAGCTTATTCCCTACCTAGGCTCTGCCTAGAGGGTTCTTACTCTCCTTCTTAAAGGGGCCGGGCATTGCAAACCGCCCCGGGCGGTTCCCCCAGTATCCGCCCCGCGGTTCCCCCAGTTACGCCCTACCTAGGCTCTGCCTAGAGGGTTAGCTTAACTTAGCTTAGCATAGCATAGCGCAGCGCTGCATTAGCACATCATAGCATACAATGACATAGCCAAGCATAGCATGGCATAGCATCGCGCAGCATAGCATAGCATAGCATAGCATAGCATATCATATCATAGCATGGCATAGCGCAGCTTAGCATAGCATAGCACAGCACAGCACAGCGCAGCATGACATACCATATCATAACATATCATATCATATCATAACATAGCATAGCATAGCATAGCATAGCGCAGCATAGCGCAGCATAGCATAGCATAGCATAGCATAGCGCAGCATAGCATGGTATAGTATAGCATAGCATAGCATAGCAACTAATGCTGCTTTCCTAGGGGCTCCAACTTCTAGGTAGGGCCGCGCTGGCGTATTTTTTTGTAGTTGCTATTTTTTGGTGTTATGGCTATATGTATGTATTGTTTTATAGACATGTAAAAACGAATCTCCCTGACGCCATTCCCTGCAGCTCTTGCCCTTTACTTTTTCATCATGGGTCATTATATGATGTGTTCTTGGGCCCAGAAACGACCTCCTGGCGCCGAGAATGGCGGTCACCTCTTGCGCGATTCTTTCGGGTCGCCAGATATGAGGGTCCTCCTCTTCATCTCTAGAGATGGGCTTAGGTACCCGTGCAGCCTACAGCGCGCTTGGTCCTCCTCCTCCTTCGCTCATTTTTGCTCTTTTGAGTCTGCGCTTCGCTCCGTCCAACGTCCGTGGCGCCGCCTCCCCCCAGCCCCCCCCCTGTAGAAGCCCACGACGACCACGACGACGGCCGCGACGACGATCGCGACCAAGACCGCGACCACAACCACCACAGCAACCACGACGACGATGTCGACGACGACGGCGGCGGCGGCGCGACGACGACGACGAGGGCTGGCGGCGGCGGCGGCTGCCACGACGAGGAAGAGGACGACGACGACGACGGCGCCGCCGACGACGACGACGTCGACGACGACGACCACGACGACGACGACGACGACGGCGGCGGCCGTGACCACCACGACGGGGATGACCCGCAGGCACGCGGTCCCGTTCCCCGGGCGGCCGCCGGAGGAGGGCGCACTCCACGCCGACGGGGTGGCGGCACTGGGGGTGCACGCGCGCGCGGAGGACGGGCCGACCGACCGCTCCTCGTTGTGCCGTCCACGAGAATGAGGAGGAGAAGTAGGAGGAGGAGGAGGAGGAGGAGGAGGAGGAGGAGGAGGAGGAGGAGGAGGAGGGGGAGGAGGAGGAGGGGGAGGAGGAGGAGGAGGAGGAGGAGGAGGAGGAGGAGGAGGAGGAGGAAGAGGAAGAGGGAGGAGGAGGAGGAGGAGGAGGAGGAGGAGGAGGGGGAGGAGGCGGAGGAGGAGGAGGAGGAGTGAGGAGAGCGAGGAGCATAATACGCAGAAAGAAACTGGACATGGCAGAGACGAATCATGGACCCCGAGGGCTTCTGCCCTTCCCTCCCCCACTCCCTCTGTGTCCAGGCCGGGCTCTGTTTTGAGACCGGGAAGCCGCCAAGAGCATCGCCAAGCGGACGGGCCAAAACCTGGCCCAAGGAGGCGAAGCCAGCGAGCTCACAAGCCTGGGGTAGGCGAGTCCCCGGCAGCCAGCAGCTCCTTTTCGTCACGATTGCTCGAATCGAGCCTTCAGCGGTGCAGTTGAACATATCGCTGCCATCCTTTTGGGGATGCGCTTTGGGGCCCGCGCGCACGTGTATCGACATCGGCGCTTGTCCTGTCCTGTGAAAGAGCGCTTTCTGCCGCGACTGGCAGGGCGAGGGGGTTTCAACCCTCTCCCCCCCAAAACCACGGGGGGAGGGGGGGTTCCAGACTCCCATCCTTTGGAAAATATGTCGGAGTGGTCTAGAACCCACTCCCACCCGGGGGACAATTATTCGGAGGGCTCCAGACCCTCCACCCCTTCTCTGGTAAAATCATTCGACGACGACGACGACTACGACGACGACGGCAAACGACGCGGACGACGACGACGCTGCCGACGCCGACGACGACGCCGACGACGACGTCGACGACGACGACGACGGCGGCGACGACCACGACGACGACGCCGACGCCGACGCCGAGGACAACGACAACGACGACGACAGAGACGCCGATGGTTTCGAGGACAAGGACGACAACGGCGACGACGACCCAGACGACGAAGACGACGACGAAGACGACGAAGACGACGAAGACGACGATAACGAGGACGACGACGACGCCGACGACGACGAAGACGCCAACGTCGACGCCGACGGTGACCACGACGACGATGACGACGACAACGACGACCCTGACGAAGATGCCGAAGACAACGACGACTCGGACGACGACGACGACTACGATGGAGCCCCAATGGGGCGCGAGCGTAGCCGGATCGATACTTAGTGGGATGCGATTAAATCTGGATCGAACCTTACATCCCCGTGAAAAAATATAGCAATAGTGGCACAGGGATGGAAGCCGACAAACATGTTTGAACAGACCAGGCGGGGCCCGTCGCATCAAGTGGCATCCGCCTGTCAATGTTACGGAGTATCGTTTGCATTGCGCGTTGCATGTGGGCCATCCGACTGGTGGGAACGAAACCGCAAGGCAGAACGTGGAACCGCCCACGCCAGCGGCCCAGTGAAGGAGCAACTTGGAAGAGCACACGGGCATTGAGTGGCGTCCGCCTCCCAATGCTGCCATGGGGCGCGCAAGTCAAAGTGTGGCATATCAGTGACCTGGCCCATGGTGCACGCCTGCGCGCGCTGCCAACGTTGAAAGGCGAACATCATCAATTTAATGATCCTCTTTGGGCGTTGCCGTCTGCAGATCATTCGCGATGATCGTCTTGTTGATTTTGTTATAATTCTTTCCCGGCTGTGTGGATGTCGAACCTGTTTTGGCGTGCTCCAATCGTTCTGGCGGTAATTGCCTTATAGCGTCGGCAACCTCTGCCGCTCGGGCAGATGGAATGGGAAGCGCGCGGTCCGTGATACATGACATGGTACCCGGGCGGCTGCCGCGGTCTGTCGTGGCTTCCCTGGGAGGCTAAGGGGGGGAACGCGAAGATGCAAATGGGGGAGGAAAACGAGGAGGGGACTGAGGATGCTGATGATGATTCGGCGGAGGAGCGAAAGTTAAGCAGTGGCTGGCGATGTGGCGAGAACGCATGTCGTCTTCGACGTGGTCGTCGTGGTCGCCGTGGTCGCCGTCGTCGTCGTGGTCGTCGTCGTCTTTTTCGCCGTCGTCGTGGTCGTCATCGTCGTCGTCGTCGACGTCGCCGTGATCGTCGTCCGTTCCTGGCAATAACGGCTGCGTTCTGGGCCTGGGGCCCACGACGCCCGTGCAGGAGCGGGCTCGCTGTGAAGATCCGCTCATGGTGGCAAATTTTCGATGTCTGGCGAACCGACTTAACGATTGGACGCGGGCGGATTCAGGTATCACTGTGTAAACTCATATGCGGGACGCACTTCCCGTTGCCCAGGGGCCCCGCTCAACGATCGGGAGGTGGCAGGTCTACCACGTAGAATCACGCACGGGACACGCTTCGCGTAAAGTGGCGTGCCCCAGCGTGCCCGCTTTGCGACCTTTTTTTGGTTTTCCGCGTTTCGTGTGCGAAAAAGTAGGACGCGAAGCACCGTGTGTGAACTTGCATAATGGAACCCGCCACCCGCCGGATCATCAACGCGGTTCGTTGGACAACGCCTCGCAGGTCCCATTGGTCTCGTCAGTCCCACAGGTCCCACAGGTGCCACAGGTGCCATAGGTCGCGCAGGCCCCACGGGTCCCGCAAGGCCTACAGGGCCCGCAGGTCTCTCGCAGGTCCTAACAAAGCTGACGTTTTGCACAGGTCCCACAGCTCCCACAAGTCTCGCAGGTCGCACAGGTCCCGCAAAACCCACCGATCCCGCAAGTCGCCTAGGTCCCGCATGTCTCGCAGGTCCCACAAGTCCCACAAGTCCCACAGGGTCACAAGTCTCACGCGTCCCACAGGACCCACAGGGCAGCACGCTAAAAGACGCGAGGGGATCGCGCGGAAACCCAATACTTAGGCAGAATTGCCCTTTTCCGTGAACAAGGTTTATTTAATCGCTTCGCTCATTCCGCCGGCCCGTATTGGTGCACGGCTGTCGAGTGCCCGTGTGATCGTTGTCAATGGGGTGCTGCCGGGCCGTTTTTTCGTGTATTGATGGCTGGCGTTGGGTGATTTCGCAGGCGGGAACCATTCTTTGCCCGCCTGAACCTTCTGTTTCGGAAGGTGGCGGCTCGTGAATACGATCGCAGGGAAGAAGACAACATTCTGCAGTTTCCTTTTTGCATTCATCGGGCCCCTTGTCGCTTGTTGGGGCCTCTTAGGAGCCTCTTGGGGCGTCCATGAGGCCTCTTGGAGCGGAAGGCTCGGATTCCCGGTTCGTGGTCTGCATCTTGGGCCTCTCTTGGGGCCCTCTTGGGTCCTTTTGGACCGTCTTGGGCGCCTCTTGGGCTGTCGTGGGGCTCTCTTGGACGGTCGTGGGCCTCTCTTGGAGGCCTCTTGGGCCGTCTTGGGGTGGTCTTGGAAGCTTCTTGGGCCGTCTAGGAGCGTCGAAAAGGCGAAAAGGCGACCTTGAAAAACCCGATGGAAGTCAATGGTTTTGGCGCTCTGAGGCTTCGTGGACGTTCACTGGGATCTCGTTGGATGCCTCTCGAGGGCTTCTTGGAGACTCTCGGGAGTCGCTGTCGAGCCTCTTGGGGTCTCTTTCGGGCCCCTTGCCTCCTTTTGGGGCCTCTGGGGGGCCTCTTGGAGCCTCCAGGAGGCCTCTTGGAGCGGAAGGCTCGGATTCCCGGTTCGTGGTCTCCATGTTGGGCCCCTCTTGGGGCCCTCTTGGGGCCTTTTGGACCGTCTTGGGCGCCTCTTGGGCTGTCGTGAGGCCCTCTTGGGCGGTCTTGGGGCTCTTTTGGAGGTCTCTTGGGCCGTCTTGGGGTGGTCTTGGAGGCTTCTTGGGCTGTCTTGGAGCGTCGGAAACGCGAAAAGGCGAGGAAGCCAAAAAGCTTGAAAAACCCAATGGAAATCAATGATTTTGGCCTCTTGGGGCTCTCTTGGAAAGGGTCAGGGCTCTCTTGGGACGTCTTGGAAGCTTCTTGGGCCGTCTTGAGGCCGTGTTGGGCGTCGTGGGCCGATCGTTCGGTGATTCGGAACCCTCTTGGACCGTCTTGGAAGCCTGTTGGGGCCCTCTTGGCGCGCTCCGGGGAGCGTGGAAGGCCGCACCCAGGAGGAAAACCATCTCTGACCTGAGTTTGCCGGGAGTGTCCCGGGACCTTGCCGGGGTACTTTCCGGCCGGGGACCCCCAGGGAACGCTCCGCGCGCGCGAAGTATAGAGTTATTGTTAACCAGTTACCAGAGATCTTAGCACGCTTCTGGCCCGTTGGGCCGGCAAATGACAAAAGTGGCACAGGGATGGAAGCCGACGCAAATTTTGAATCAGACCAGGCGGGGCCCGTCGCATCAAGTGACATCCGCCTGTCAAAGTTACGGCAAAGCGTATCGTTTGCATTGCGTGTTGCATGTGGGCCATCCGAGTGGTGGGAACGAAACCGCAAGGCAGAACGTGGAGCCGCCCACGCCAACGGCCCTGTGAAGGAGCAACTTGGAAGAGCACACGGGCATTAAGTGGCGTCCGCCTCCCAATGCTGCCATTGGGCGCGCAAGTCAAAATGTGGCATGTCAGTGACCTGGCCCATGGTGCGCGCCTGCGCACGCTGTCAACATTGAAAAGCGAACATAACTTAATGATCCTCTTTGGGCGTTGCGGTCTGCAAATCATTCACGATGATCGTTTTGTTGATGTTGTTATAACTTTTTCCCGGCTGTGTATTAGGATTCGATCAGATCTGGATCTATCGCTGGGTGGTTGTTTGCAAAGATGGATCGCTACCTAGTGGGATTCCATCAGACGTTGATCAAACCCCGTCGGACTTTTTCATTAATGTTGTATTGAGATTTAGTAGGTTTCTTTTCGACCAGGATGCAGCCCTGATCAGGTTTTATTAGAGCTGGGCCCAACCGTAGTAGGACTTTGTTTGTTAGAAATGGGTCGAGCCCTTGTATGATGTTTTTAGAGTTGGATCCAGCATTATAAGAATTCTGTTAGAGCTGGATT